TGCACCTAAGTTTTACACTGCATTTGTTTTACTTTAAACGAAATGCCAATATTTTTAAAATGCATGCATTTGAAATACTTTCACTCCCTTTGCAGGCAAACAAACAAACAAACCCTCAAGAATAATTGTGGAAAACATCAGTGATCTAGCCACCTAAATAGGCGTCTATTTTTTTTCAACAACCCAATTTTGTTTAGGGGTGTCGATGAGATAATATTGTAAAATCGATATGAAGTACTCTTTAGCAATTTCAATGTTTTGGATTTGAATTTCGGTGCAGTTGAGTGAACCATGGTATTGAAATGCTTCATGATTTGAACTTCAAATTTTTCTTTTCATTATGAAAAATTAGCTGAGACGAATATGATCTTTAATGAAGGAAATAAACCATCTACTACCAAAGATGTTTTGACTCAAAATGCTCTCCACAGATTACCACGCACAGAAGCAAAAAGTTAGAAATGTCTGTAGGTTTGATTAAGATAGAAACAACGAATATATTTAGCCAAGTGACAAATTTTACACAAAGTCCTTTGAATTTTTGTTTGTGGATAGAGAAGAAATTGAATTTTCAAGGTAAGTAGAGTTTTTGACCTCCATACTAGTGCTGGGGTCAAGTCGATCACGCAAAGTGGATCTCAAAAGCAAAAGAGCACGAAATCGCGCAAAAACTCGCCTGAAGCGTGTTGACCGAAAACCCAAAATCGCCGAGACGGCCTCCGTTCAAAAACTGTGGGCTCCGAAAATTCGGCCCCGGCCTCCGCCTACTTTCTTTTCTTTGATGGAAGTTTTAACGGAATTATTTTTGGGGTAAATTTTGGGAAGGCAGATGGGTTTGTAGATAAGACACTACCCAGAGATTTCTCCCTCATTTTGTGAGGACTTTATGATCTGAGTTCTAGTTTCCTATAGGCGCAAGCTCCTATAGTTAATTATCCCTCCCGATGACAAGAGAGAACTTTCGATTAAGGCTAGTAGTCAATCAGATACATAAATATACGTGTTATCTGACATATAGTAGCAGCATGGGTTTTGATTTGGATATTTGAATTTGAGTTGAGGTATTTGAGAAATTTTGACATTTAAAACTTGAAAATTTTCAACATCTTGCACTTAAAGCGGATGGTGGGAGAATGAATGATAGGCCCGATCAAGATCCCATGGTTTCGTCGTCCCGAGCCAGTGTGGTCCCTGATCTACATAGTCAGAGGAGGTAGTCGACCCAACATGACAGAAGGATCCTTGTCGGCAGCCATGGGTTGCTTCATCCAAGGGTACCTTGCAAACCTCGGGTGGATGTTTGTCTAAGAGGACAATTTTGAATCCATCTTAGCTAACAGAGAGTTTTAAGGTCTATTATAAAAGAAATTCATCAAACTATCAAATGAGTATACGGTCACGGTATCGACCGAGATACTTGTTTTTATACGTTCATATAAGGCCTTCAAGGTCTATGACAAAAAAACATTCATCAACAAAACCATAAAGTCAAAAAAAAAACCTGATCCTCTATCGACAACTCGACAGAGTCGCTAAGGTTCAATTCACAAATAAATATGATGACTGTGTTGAATGTAGATCTCAACTAGGAGGTTAATCACAAACACTTTTAAATGCCTCCCAAATACCCAAATACCTATAAAAATCCAAAATTCCAAGAAATTTCAAATTCCAAAATATTTAAAATTGAATAAGTTAACAAAACACTTAAAATGAAAATCCATCCACCATCTGCAACAGTTTGTCGGGCGGACAAATTGAAATTTACTTCTGCTCACATGGAGATAATGCCTAGTCGAAAATATCACTAGGATCCATTCTCAAGTAATCTCCTGCCAATAATGATGTGGTACGTGTCCTCTGACCGGCGGTTTTTCGGCCAAATGGCACCGCAGGATAAACGATTATGACCTGGGGCCCTCTGAACAGAGAGGTTTTGCCGCCAAATGGCACCACGATATAACGGTTATGGTCAGAGCCAATATGTTTCTTAGTGGCATCAAATCCTTGAGATATGAATCAATAAAATATAGTCGATAAATCTCTTTGTTAGCTAAGGTGGATTCAAATTTGTCCCCTCAGACAAATATCCACCCAAGATCTACAAGGTACCCTTGGAAGAAGCAACCCATGGCTCCTGAAAAGGATCCTTCTATTAGGTTGGGTCGACTACCTCCTCTGACTATGTAGACTAGGGATCACGATGGCCCGGAGCGACGGAACCATGTGATCTTGATCGGGCCTATCATCCATTCTCCCACCATCCGCTTTAAGTGCAAGATGGTGAAATTTTTCAAGTTTTAAATGTCAAACTTTCTCAAATACCTCAACTCAAAATTTTAAATATCTAAATCAAAACCCATGATGCTACAATATGTCAGATATCACGTATCTTTATGTATCTGATTGATTACTAGTCTTAATCGAAAGTTCTCTCTCGTTATCGGCAGGGGTAATTAACTATAGGGGCTTGCGCCTATAAGAAATTAGAACTCGGATCATAAAGTCCTTGCAAAATGAGGGCAAAATCTCTGGGTAGTGTCTTATCTACAAACCCATATGTCTTCCAAAATTTATCCCGGAACCTAATTCCATTAAAAATCCCTCAACCGAAGAAAAGACAGCGGGCGGAGGCCAGAGCCGAATTTTCGGAGCCCGCAAGAGTTTGGATGTCCTAGGTGATATTGTCAAAGCTAAACATCATGATCATTATTTGAAACGTGGTTGAATGAAGGGATGGGTTTTAGTGGATACATAGCCCACTATTTGACATCATACCTTGCTAGAGAGATTATTTAGAAGACAAAACCCTAAACACATCTCTGCACTATCAATCAACCTCCTGGAGTTCAAGTCTTGAAAGTGACAAATATTAGATGGGAAATAAGCAACTCAAGTTTTACCTTGAGTGAATTTACTGATTGATAGTACGCCGCAATCTACGTTAAGACACTAGAAATAAAGAAGTGGCAGATCTTTTGAGAGAATAATGAAACAAATGCCTGCCACATTTGAGGTGACTTATGTGCAATATGGGAATTATAATTTCATGGCTTGCGCGGTAATAATGGAAGCCACTTTCGTCTCCTGTCATATTATTTGACGCTCCCCGCGTTTATTATCTAAGCAATAGTTTTCTTTTTTGCAATCAGAGCATATAAGTACTTACTTTTTTTAGCAACCAAGCTTATTGTATTTGTGTTCTAAAATAAGCTTTTGTTAGGAATAATTGGTTGTTTTCGATTTGCTCTCTCTATGGTTACAAAAGTAAAGAGAGAGTGGTTGCAGTTTATCTTTATTGTTGGTTCTCTTTGGAATTTTTCAATATCGTATTTCATCATGAATTTTTCATGTTTGGGTATAGATTTCCATTTTGAGATAATTTTCAATACTGTATTTGCCAGCTTCTTTACCACGGGTTTCTTCATGTTAGGTGAATTTCTTCTTTCTAAGAGGATCCTTCACATATATTTTTATCAATCTTGCTGGACAAAGACTTGCATCCGGTGTTGGTGATGAACCCGTCAACTTGGAGAAGAGATTCTATGTTGAAAGACTCACCTGCTTCACATGAAGTAGAACCTTAATTGCTTTGATGCCATCTTAAAAATTAGAATGGAAAGAGATGATTGAATTTTATTTCCATGCTATAGGTAAAAAACTAGATATGAAATTCTATAAAAAGTAACAGAACAGTTATAAAGAAAGAAATAAAAATTTAAACCAATCTTTAATTTTGAAATCTATAATTAATAACCAACACAAATATAAATACTATTGTCTGAGAATTGTTAGATTGTTTTAGAAGAAAATTAATATTCACGTATTCCTAGATTATTATAGATGAAAAATTATTGTTTGCAAATTGTTAGATTATTGTAGATGAAAAAAATTGGCCACATTAAGTATCATTTTAATAATATGATTGGTAATAGCATGCAATCTTATTACATTACGGCAAGAAATTTAAAAGCAAAAGTGATGTAAAGATTCAGAACTATAGTTCTCAAAGAAATAAAAACCAACTAATTGAATCGTGTCATCATTATTTTATTATTATTTATCATTTACTTACGCATTTTGAACATTTGAAATTTAACAACACTTGCTTAGCTACTAGACAATCGTTCCTAGGTTGGACCTTGCAACATTGGAGATTCACATATTAAGATATCTGGAGATAAGCTTAACCTAAAGGCTAAAGTACAATATGCCAAGTTGTGAGCATCCGGTGCATTACTTTCAACATAGGGTACATTTGGATAGGATTATCCTGAGAGTCCTCTAGCTAGATTTTAGGGGTGTCTTAAAGGAAGCATTAACAGGCCTTAGCCCTAAAATAGAAAGGCCATCTTCTTTTCTATTTAGCCTTGGCATGTTGATTTAAAAAAAACTATGTTCGTTAAATATCAATATCTTCTTTTATCAATTATTCGTTGATTTTCAAGCAGAAGCTTGAATGGATGCATCTTGGTTCTTCTCTTTTCTGTTGATTTTACCCGTTCACTCTTCTTTTCCACTTCTTTGTGCCATTTCTTTAATTTGTTCATAATTGTAAATGTCAATTGGTGTTTGCCGGTGCAGTCACAACTGGAGATCAAAAACCACATTGGCTTCAAGGATTGGGGACAATTACATCTTTTCACCTCTAGGATCAGGATTCTTTCACCTTTCAGTCTCCCAAAGGGTTTCTTTATTTGCATCAAAGCTGCTTCATAATTGTTTTTGGTAATCTTTACTTTTGCAATTGTTTTCCGTTAGGTTTCAGCAATTCATCTTATAAAAGCTCTCAAAACTTTAATCAATATCTTATTTTTTTAATTTACTGCCTTGCACCCTAGTGAATCTTTCTATGGGTATCGTGCATCAAGCACTAGATCTCAATACACGCTTCATCAAAAGTGCTAAAAGATATAAACCACACAAAATTATAGATAAATATTATATATATATATATATATATATATATATTGCTGGAAAGAATTAAGATCAGAGCATACCCCTCCTTTGGATGAATTGGGTGAAATAAGAGGGATCAGTATTAGCAAAACAACCACAGCTAAGTCCTGCAAAAAGCCCACATAAAATAGTCACTAGAAACCACTGGATCTACATAAAGTACTAAATAACCATTAGTAAAATTAAAAAATATGAGAAAAAAAAAGGTAAGGTCGCAGTACTCTCTTATAAAGATAACTTTTTCCATAATATACTGAATACACATTGTTCCCGCTTCCTTATTTTTGCATAGAAGAATGTCAGAAATCTGAAACAATATTTGTGCAACTATCATACTAAATGAGGTAAATATTAAAACAGAACTCTGGGAATTGTGACTATCAAAATTTACCATATTTTTTTCAGCATGACATAACCATGACAATCAAAATACCCCACATTTTGTAGTGACAGCTATTAGCTGTAATGATATAATGAATATTTTTATAATCATCGACGACAACAATAAGCCTTTTTCCCATTACGTGAGATCGGTTATATGAATCATTTTTCTCCATAGTGTCTTAGTAAGAGTCATAATGAATATTTTCATCACTCGGTAAAATACATACCTGAAAAAGTAAAACAGAAAATGTAGCACGACCATGTCGTGATGTGCTCTCTCCTCTCTCTTGGAGCACCTGATAAAGGACAAGCAACTTCTGGAAAGTTCAAATTTTCTGCTAGGCAATTGTATAGATATAAGACATTTACTTTCATGAGAACCAATGGTATCAAACAGCCAAATTAGCATCTGAATTAGGTAACATGATTATAAAAAATAAAAAATAAAAACAAAAAAAACAAACACCACCAACTGATGAATGATTCTGCATGTTTTACGTGAATGTTAGCTCTCTACAAAGATTATAACTCAAAGGACATGTAAAGAAGAAAAGTGAAGACAAATCTGTCATTTTTGGCTGTTGTAATCAGTTCTTTCATAGAATTTCTACAGACATAAAAAATATTAAAATATTTGACAAATAATGATGAAAAGAGTTATCTAAGTCATTTTGATGCAATGGAAATCATGACAAACCAACCCAAAAAAATACAATCCGCCATAGATTAAATATTAGGACTCAAACTTAAATATAAAGAGCTAACTCAGACCAATTATTATACCTTTATAGGGCAATTTCTATTTATGATGGAACTTCTATTATTTTTAATTTAATTTGTTTTATCGTGCTCAATTAGTTTCTTTGGGATAATTTCAATTTTGAATTTAAATTATTAGGATGAGATTTGACTAGGTTTTAGATAGATTTAGAGTTCAAATTTAAATCCAAGTTGTCTGTAGATCACTACCTATGATGCACTGACACTTCTTCTCAAAGAGGCGTGCAGTGTCTGACACCGTATCCGACACGACACTCGTCCGACACTCCTCCGACACATGTCGGAAACGTCGAAAACGTGTCCAATTAAAAAATATTAAAAACAAATAGGACACGCGTGTCCGACATGCGTATCTTAATTATTTTATAATTTTTTTAAAGATAATTCCTTTTATTTGGCGAAATTTAAACTAAATTTCTTATTTCATATCCACCACCAAATCAACATATGCACTTAATACCCATTCATTGAATATTCTCATTTTTATTTCTCTTTGGCAATGAAGGTATTTTCATCTTCTCTCTTGGTGACTGATAAATGACATTGACGCCTGACTCTCGACATCTTAATACTAATCATTTTAAGCAAAAAATCTAGTTAAATGACTTATTATTTCTAAATTATTTTTAAAATTATACTTATTTAATTTTTATATACTATTTTTAAAATATAAAACTATAATATCGTGTCCAACCCGTATCCGTGTCCTATACTTTCAATAATTGACGTGTCCTGTGTCCGTGTTGTGTCGTATCCGTGTCTGTGCATCATAGATCACTACAAATTATATGTGGAGTTATGTTCTCCCCCTCCATCAAGTTTAATCATCCACCATCAATTTTGGTGTTAGATCTAATGTGTTGTCTTGCAAACCCTACATAAGCAATTCGAGAAATTGTCTTATGCCCAAGGATGTACAGAAGAAGCTCCCAGTTGCTTTCTTCCCCCGTCTCCCTCTCTATTTGCCCATGAAAATTGCACGAGAGGGCCTTCGTCCATCTCTTCTAGCCATGCACACAAACAAAACGAGAGGTTCTCTGGACTCCGCTCCCTCTCTCGACTTTCCTACTCTCTCTCAGAAGGACGCACGCACACAAGTAGCAGGCTAGAAGACCGAATGACCTCTTTCTTGACTTTCCTCTATACTCGAAAACGAAGCCAGCTCTGCTCGATTTTGTGGATTTGGAAGGATCACCCAAGCTTGATTGCCTACCACAGGATTTGACGAAAAGTAGCACACATAGAGAGCAAATATCAAGAAGATCGAGCCATTGATTTAAATTTTCTGATTTGGGAAATCAATTGAGATTAAATTGGGACAATTGGGTTGAATTTGAGCTTGAACGAACTCGATTTGAATTGATTTGAGTTTGAATTGGCTCGATCGAGTTAATTTGGTGAAATTTTAATTGAATCGACACCAATTTGAGTCGAATTGAGTTCGACGGAGCTCAAATGAGTTGATCTGGTTCACTCAAACCCGATCGGGTCCGATTCAACTCAATTTGAGTTGAGTCGAGTCGAGTCAACATGAAAATTATGTCAACAGAGAAATAGATTAATTAGAAAGATAATTAGTAAGATTTGTATAGAAATTTGCAAGTCTATGGCCCGATATTCACCAACGGTGCACATTCAACCACAGTTCCAATTAGAATACACAAAATATCAAAGGAGGTTTCAGCATTTTCCCAAGGAAAAATAGGAAGGAAGACTAGGAATCTCATCCGAAAAGACACTTCTAAGAGGTTTTTCATTCATAGAACAGCATGCGAAGGGTGTAAAAATTTTCTGATGGGAATCAACTGTCGTTCTTTGACATAATTTTGAGTGTAAATTATTTTCTATTTCAGGAATAAAAATATACTTACATAAATGGATGAATGGATGCGGACAGCTGACCCATTAAGGTAAGTATATATTTAACTGGGGATTTCTTGATGAAATGACTTTCTGAACCCCACTCCCTCTCCTTGAAATAATACGTACGCTATGGTTCTAAGTCCACAAATTAAAAGAGCTATCTGCTCTTCATGGATAAACAGTTTATTATTCAACAAAACTAAAAAACTTTGGGTATATTCAGCCTTCAGCTGAAGAATTCCAGACTAAGGACAGTATTTTATAAGCGTTATCTGAGGAAAAGGCAAAAAAAATGGAGCAAAAATATTGTTGTTTGAATGACAATTTTCCTAGGCTGCTGGACCGTTCTTCAGAAATCTAAACAACATAATCATGATATACAGGATGATGTTTGAACATGCTAGTATATACTAAGCTCAAGGAAGGGAAAGTAAACTTCACCTGTAAGACTACTGCGGTAGATGACAAAGCTAGACCATTTCCAATAACAATTGCTGCAGGGCCTGGAAGCAGAGTAATAAAACGGGCAGCCAAGCCAAATGCAATTGCAGTCACAAGAACCTGAAAATGACCAATAACAAGAAAGAAACATAAAAATACTGCAAACCGTTAAAAAACCAATAAGACGAGGAAGTTTCTTGTCACCTGAGCAGAGCCTAAACCAAAAACGTACTTCTTCATTGAACTTAACCTTTCCACAGAAAGCTGCAAAGTGAGAATTATATATTTTGCAAGTTTTTCTACTAACAAATTCTCAAGGAAGAAGCAATAGAAAGGCACAATATTTTTTTTTCAAAGAAAACTCCAGTATACTACCTCAAGTCCAATATTAAAGAGCAGAAAAACAACTCCAAATTCAGCAATGGCCTTTGTCCCATGAACATGACGGATAATGGAAAGCCCATAAGGACCAATAAGAATACCAGCAGCCAAATATCCAAGTACAGGACTACCTGAAACATGCCAACAGCCTTATCTTGCACCCCAGAAGATAACACATAAAAACCAATGCCACTACTGAAAACAGGGCACATGATGCAGTACAGCAGCAGGTATAGAGATATCATTAGCAATATTAAATACCTTCAAAAGGTGGGCATCGCTAATTGAAAGGGATTCTCAAAAAAAATTTGAAGTAATTAGAAAAGTTATTGCAGCAGCCAAAAAGCGGCAGCTTCATCAAATTTGGAAAGTAAGCTTCAAGGTCACACGGAGCCTTCAAATTGAAAAAAGAGTAAAACCACATTGAAGCTCATCATCATCATCATAGCCATAACCCAACTATTTGGGGTCAGCTTACACAGAAACACATGACTAACTTAGAGATAACCCATCAAAACTTATAAGTGTGAAGAACGCAGAAATGAAATATTCAATTCCAGAAAATGTTCTTTAAAAGCAAGATAACTTCTAGTGAAAGAATGAAACATTCTTTCCTTCAGAAAGACCTAGTCATATAACCGTGCTTGTATATGAGAGTACCTGTTGAATAATATTCTTGAACATATACAGGCATGCTAAGTATTGGATCTAATAAACTTAAGTTTTCTGGCCAGAAAAGCATCCCATAAAGGCAGCTCAACGTCAGGGTACTTTAAAAGGGAAAAGTATTGCACCATGCACAGTGATTTTACATGGCACATTATGAATTGGTGATTAATGGTAAACAACATTATCCAAAGGGTAGCGTGAGGCTTAATAAAAAATATGTACATCAAAGAACCTTGATATGAACATGATACACTGGGTTTAGAAAATGTTTCTTTTCATTGAAATAACAATGGGGTCCTAAAACATTCATGATAAAAGAAATGCACACCAAAGTCACCAACGGTAAACCCAACTGATCTTTAATCCTTCAAGATTCCTAGCTAGCTCAGAGAATCAGACAATCCTACCATCAGTCCATCATTTAGGATAGATAAAGGTAAGAAATTTGGTAATTGCAAAGCATTAGCAACAAGAAAGATACTTCTCTTTATTTCTAAACTCTATCACTAAATGAACTAGAGTTATAAATGAGTTGAGACAAGTAAAGTGTCTGCTTAATCGAGCTTTGCCAGTTTAATTCTCAGTGAGCTCAAACTCGACTCATTCAGGCTCGAGTTTGTTGACACCTTTTTCATGTTGACTCGACTTCGATTGAGTCGAATAAAACCCGATCGGGTTTGATTGGACCTGATAAACTCAATTAAACCCCGTCGAACCCATTTGGATTAATATTGGACCCAAATTTAGTCCAATTAAACTCAATTTAAATCAAATCAGTTCGGATTGACTCAAATCGAACTCAATCGAGCCCAATTACAACCCAATCTCCCCGTTTAAATTCAAATTTAATTCCCAAATCAGGAAAACTGAATCAACGGCTCTGATTCTCTTGAATTTTGCTCCATGTGCACGTTACCTTTCAGTCAAATGTCGCAGGAGCAGGCAATCAAGCAAGAGATCCTTCCAAATCCACGAAATCGAGCAAAGAGCTTGCTTCCTGTGTGCGTTCAACCACGAGGAGGTAGCGTCGAGGGTTTTTGTTCTGCTTGCATGCAGTTCATCCAAGCGAAGAGAGAGAGAGAGAGAGAGAGAGAGAGAGAGAGAGAGAAGCATGAGGGAGGGGTTAGAGAGGCCTTCTGCGTGCTTCCGTTCCTGCGTCCAAAGCCGAGAGAGCGAGGGAACGAGAGGCGGAAGCCTCTTATCTTCGAGTATGCTTTCCCCGATCGAGCGTCCTATAGTTGTTGTTCGCGCCCGTGCCTGAGTCGATTCAAGGAGTTCATCTGTTGGGTTGTCATGTGGCCTTCCCTCCCTGAGACGACCATGTCAAAGGCTCTTGGGCTTCTATGTTCGATCCTTGGAGGCAAAATCGAGCTGTTGATACATTCTTCCCCTTTGATTGAGAGAGGGAAGTCTCCTTTGTTGCTATTACCTTTTCAAATAGAGAGGGAAGGCTATTGTTTGATATTCCTTACAAAGTTCAGTGAAGCTCTAGTGTAGGCAAAACTTCCCCTTCCATATACATCAACTTTGACGAGTTCGTGACTGCAGAGATGACACTCAGAGCATTTGGATAGCGAGTTCCTTCCTCCATCTTACTTTTGCAAGGCGAGAGCACATCAGTTTGCACCGTGACTTGCTCCGGTGAGTTATATCCCTAAAAACTTAGAAAACCAAGGTCATTTGGCCTCCTGAATGTGTGGTTGACACACCAAAGCCCTTAGGATCCTAGAAAAACCGCATTTTGTTTTCCAAAATCCAAGAAAAATTCCTACCAGCGGTACTATCTACAAAACAATGAAAATCCGGTTATTTTCACTTGTTTGCTCTCATGTGAGAGCCCAAGGAGGATGGCGACACGCGTAGGGTCGTTGGATTGGTATCCAGCATCCTCTAAATGAATGAAATAGCATTCATATTGCATTCCAACACCGCGCTTACGATCAAACCCTAGGTTTCGACTTCTGTGTGTGAATGAACCAAGAGAAAAAGAGAGAGTGTGTGAAAGTTGAATGAAGCCTTCAACCACGTAGGGGTTCATTCACATTAAGCCTCCAAATCTACATATCATCCCCTTGTATTTGCTTCATTCACATTAAGCAAATAAAACATCCATCATTGAAAACAAATTTCAATGATCACTTATAGTTTATAACCTCTAAGTTGCAAATCTGGCTCATTCGCTCTCGGTTCATTCACACGCATAAGTCGAAACCTAGGGTTTGATCATAGGCGACGGTGTTGGAATGCAATATGAATGCTATTTCATGCATTTGGAAGGTGTTGGACACCAATCCAAAGACCCTACGTGTGTCGCCATTCTCCTTGGGATCTCACGTGAGAGCAAACAAGTGGAAATCACCAGATTTTCACAATTTTGCGAAGAGAATAGCAAATAGGAATTTATTTCTTAGGTTTTGGAAAACAAAATGTGGGTTTTCTAGGACCCTAAGGGCTTTAGAGCGTCAAACACACATTTAAGAGGTCAAATGACCTAGGTTTTCTATATTTTGAGGGTTATACCTTATTGGAGCGAGTCACCGTGCAAACCGATGTGCTCTTGCCCTGAAGAGGGGAGATGGAGGAAGGAACTCGCTATTCAAAATGCTACAAGTGTCATCTCCACTGTCACGAGCTCATCAGAGTTGTTGTATATGGAGGAGGAAGCTTTGCCTGCACTAGATCTTCATTGAACTTTGGAATGTAGAGCAAACTGTAGCCTTCACTCTCTATTTGGAAGAGCAATAGCAGCAAAGGAGACCTCTCTCTCTCAATTGAAGGGAAAGAAGACAACAACAGCTCGATTTTGCCTCCAAGGATCAAACACAACAACCCAAGATCCTTCAATAAAATTGTCTGAGGGAGCGAAGGCCGCATGACAACCCAACAGACAAACTCCTACTCGGATCGACTCAAGCACGCGCACGAACAACGACCTTAGGCCGCTAGATCTGGGAAAGCACGTGCAACGATAGGAGGCCTACGCCTCTCATTCCCTCACTCTCTCGGCTCTGAACACACGAAAAGAAACACATAGTAGGCCTCGACAACCTCTCCCTCACGCTCAACTCTCTCTCCCTTCTTCTAAACGAATTGCACTCAAGCATAACAAAAACCCTCGACACTACCTCCGCTCTACTGGACGCACACAGGAAGCAAACTCTTTGGTCAATTTTGTGGATTTGGAAAGATCTCCTAGTCAATTTCCTACTACTGCCACATTTGATGGAAAGTCAGAGCACGCAACGAATAAAATTCCATAGAATCGTAGCTGTTGATTTAAATTTCCTGATTTGTAAGTCAATTTGAATTTAAATTGGGAGATTAGGTTAAAATTGGGCTCGAATCGAGCTCGATGCAAATCGATTTGAGTTGATCCGAGTTGATTTGATTTAATTCAAATTTTAATGATTTGAGTTGATCCAAGCTCTATTCAAATCAATTTGAATTTATCCGAGCTCGATTTTAATGATGTTTTAGGCCAATGCCTCATTTTTGTAGAAAGTTGGGAAAATATTTATAGATCTTTGAGTAGCAGGTCCCGTAAATATAGAGAAAATCTAAAACACTATTGGACAACCGTATTAATTCATTTATCATAAAGCATTCATTCAACATTTAAGTCCCTTATTGTTGTTGTAATTGAGCAATCTTGGGCTTGTTGGTTTTGTCTCATCGAGATGCTCGACTTCATTATAAGCATGCTAAATTTGAAGATCACTTCTTACTTCAATTAATATTCTAAAATTGTTAGCTATGCTTTCAGCTCTAGATTTGTATTTATTTGGGCTTGGATCAGAGCATTTTTCTATGTCATGTGTTCATACAATCGAGCTTGATCAGTATGACTATAAGTTTATTGAAATCAAAATATGGATAGCCATGAATTTAATTCTAAAATTTTCAATTCGTATGCTCATCTAGACTCGTACTTGATTAAGCTAATTTTTTAATGATGTTTTAAATATAGTTATTGTACTTACACTTGGATCCTATTGACTCTTTTCCTAGCACAACAGAGAAAAACTTGTAGACAACAGTCACACGCAGCGGGTGAGTCTTATACACTATTTTCTTAACATGATAGGGAAAATATTTGTTGCAAAATCTCTCATACAAGTACCCCAATCTCATGCACATCTTTCTTGGCATGGTTGATTTTGAAAGATTTCAATAGTGATGTCTTAGGACGCAAACCATGAAAGACTTTCTTGGCGTGGTGGGTAGGCTAAGCTACCAAATTTTTTGATGACTAAGGGATTCAAAGAAAACAGAATAAAAGGGTTTGTGAACATAAATGCAGCATTGAATGTAAGAAAATGAGCAAATATAGAACCACAAAAATCATAAAATTAAAATAAAATTTTGAAATAAAAAATAAAGTTGTGAAAATGGAAGCAAAGTTGAACACATAATAGAAATTGAATAGAACTTACAGTAGACTTGAAAACTCAACAAGAGCTAG